TTTTTTTTTTTGGAAAAGATATTCTGCTTTTGTTTCCACAGAAGATAAAAACCTATAAATTTCTTTTAATGTGCTTTGATGGAACAAGAGCCCAAAAAAGTCTCTGTGAACCCTAAATATACTTCACCCAACAAATAACAGGAAGCAGTTTGGAGAAAACTATGCCCAAATTCCCAAGATGATTGTTTATAAATGCTTATTTCCATTTTAAAAGCGTTGGTTATAAATGGTTAATGGAAATAAGAGGATATGATATAGAGAGGAATGCTTTGCACCAGTACGTATCTTGGTCTATGGATAGAAAGGTTGATTTTGTTACTCTGTGTATATGTATTTCTGATCTTTAAGGCATTGTGTTTGTGCAGCTCATTTAAGAATGTAATGTGTAATTAAGAAATATAGGTTAATAGATAGTCATCTATAATAATCAAATTTTTAGTCATATTAGTTAGATTTTCCAGTTATATAGAGATATATTTCAGTGAGATAATCTTCAACACTTCAAAGACATACAGAATATGGCATTTAAAATGTTTTAAAAACTTAGACTTTTCTTGACAGTGAGACATGTCTGCTTCTGGCAGCATCAATTACTTCAGAGAGGTTGATGGCCATTGAAGAAACATGTTAAGGAATTTGCCTTCAATGTGACAAGGCTAGCCATTTGGGCAAGAAACTGCTCTTGCCTGGGTTGCTTGATGGTATGCTGTATGAACTGGACATGCAGGACCCATAGAAAAATGACTGCTGAACTTTCCGACAGATGGGCTGATCCTTCAGGGTTCCTGCTTCACAGAAGAAACTGCCAGACATTCTGCCAGACACAGAAGAAAGCAACTGATAAACTTTACCATTACAAGGACGAATAGATCTTCAAATTTCCTGCTTCATGGAAAAGTCTGCCTAATACTATGGGCCTGTAGGCTGAAGATGGATGTCCCAATGTTACAAAACAACTTTGGGTAACTGTCCAGGCAGCAAGATGTCTCTGTCAATTCTAGAACTTTGGAAGTTGCTTACAATGCACTTCCTGTTTACTTCAGTAATATTATATCCTTCTGGAGTCTTTGTTGAGGCTGAAGACAAATAGTTATAGTTTTCCTTAGTTATGATAAAAAAGATAAATTAGATATGAAACTATATGCACAAAGAAATATTGTCACTGTGATTTTTGCTTGATATCTGTTTTGTATATGTAATTTTACTATGTTAAAGTTAAAACCTTCCTTTTTATTTAGACAGAAAGGGGAAGATGGTGTGAGATTCCCTGTATATGCTGTAAATATGTTTTCTTATCATTGGTTAATAAAGAAGCTACTTCCACCTATGGCAGGGGAGAATAAAGCCAGGCAGCAAATCCGAACAGAGACATAGAGAGTAGGTGGGATCAACAAGACCCATGTAACTGCCAAAGGAGAAAGACAGTGGAAAACCTTACTGGTAGGCCACAGCCTTCTGGCGATACATAGATTAATAGAAATGGGTTAATATAAGATATGAGTTAGCCATGAATATGCCTAAGCTATAGGCCAAACTGTAGTATGAGGGCTGGCTTGTTGGGGTTTCTGTCCTTCCCAGCACCCCAACAGCCGGCAAGCAGCAAAGAAAAATTACACACAGGACTCCATAAGGTTATAAACTGATTGGCCCATTAGGTCAGGCTTCTTGTTAACTCTTATAACATATATTACCCCATTATCCTTATCTATGTTAGCCACATGGGCTCAGTACCTTTCTCAGTGTGACAGCTTACATGTTGCCTCTTCGGTGGTCTGCGCAGGAGTGGCTGAGAGAGAGCTTCTGCTTCCAGAATACTCCCAGTCTCTTTGCTCCACCCCTACTTCCTGTCTGGCTTTCCCGCCTATACTGCCTGCCTGGCCAATCAGCGTTTTATTAAAATATGATTGACAGAATACAGATAATTCTCCCGCACCATTTCCCTCTCTCTTTTTTTTTTTAAACAAAGGAAAATACCCATAATCCATTTGTTGGGAATGTGGGCGTAGTATTTCAGGCTACTTCCTGCTGGTTGGGGGCGCTGATAGTCTTAAGGGGACCTAAAGAAAATTTAGAGTTATAATCAAGTCATGACTGGAGTATTCTGAGTCTCGATCATCTCAGGCAGCAGTCTTGGATCAGTTCTGGATGTAGACCTCTGTCATCTGAGCCATCTGTTCCTATCGGAGATTTTTCAGGTGGCCTCCCTTGGTCAAAGGTGATTATTCCTAACTCTGAATAAATCCAGAGTCTCTCGTTTTCTGTGGAAACAAAAGCAAAATCTCTTCTCCAAAGTAACATACCTTTTGACTTCAGTTTTGAAGCCAAGGTATTTTCAAAATTCCTATCTTGGGTTAGTTCAGTAGCATTTATAAACAAAAGTCTTTTAGCAGTTGTTGCTCCTTCCTCAGCAATCAAACAATTTAAAGAGAGCAAAATAGCATACAGTATCAAGATTCTCTGTATATTTTCCATCTTTATGTGGCTTTACTTTAACCTCTATTTCTTTTATTTTTACTTTTAACTTTTGGCTTTTTGAGACAGGTTCTCTGTATATATCTTTGTCCTGGAATAACTCTGTAGACCAGGCTGTCCTTGAACTCAGAGATCCCCACTGTCTCAGCCTCCCCAGCACTGGGATTAAAGGTGTGTGCTACCACACCTTGAACTCACAGAGATCTGTCTCTGCCTCCCAGGCATTGGGATTAAAGGTGTGTACTACCACACCTTGAAGTCACAGAGGTCAATCTACCTCTACCCCTTGAAGTCACAGAGGTCAATATGCCTCTGCCTCCCAGGCATTGGGATTAAAGGTGTGTACCACCACACCCAACTACTCTCTTTCTTTCCTTTTAACTTTAAGAACTTTAACTTTTAGCCTGCATATACACACTGTAAACCATTTAGAGGTTTTCTTCCTCTTTGAATCTCTCTTTACTGTTTATCTCTCTTTTTCTGACCACATGAGCCTTTAATTTACAAAGCAATATGGAAAGCTGTGGCTTTGACAGCTAGATCCAGCTCATTCCTTAGCTTTCCAGACTCATAGCTGAGATACCAGCCACAACTGTGTTCACTGCCACAACTCTGTCGTGTTTCAATGTCCTTGCTAGCAAGCAAGCTGCAGCATTCTGCTCACAGACCACACTCAGTCGGACTGCCTGCCTGCAAGAGTCAGAGTTTGTCCTGGCAGGACAGCCCAGAAAGCCGGCATTTTAAAACAGCGCAGCTTTTTTCCTGCTACGGCTGAAAACCGAAAAGCATGCGTTCAGCTTTTGATCAACACCGTTTAAGTGTTTCGTGGCAGGACCTCTTAATGAGCTGCAGGATTTTGCAGCTAAAGCTGAGTCAGGAAGCCTCTCTTAGCTGAGAGCCTTTGCTTGCCTCTAGCAAGCAGAGCAGACCTGAGAAATTGCTGCTACCAAGAAAACATGCTTTACTCTATTCTTTCTCAAACTTTCTCAGGCTTTCTGTGGATTCAGTTATCCACGTCTGGGTGCCATATGTAGTATGAGGGCTGGCTTGTTGGGGTTTCTGTCCTTCCCAGCACCCCAACAGCCGGCAAGCAGCAAAGAAAAATTACACACAGGACTCCATAAGGTTATAAACTGATTGGCCCATTAGGTCAGGCTTCTTGTTAACTCTTATAACATATATTACCCCATTATCCTTATCTATGTTAGCCACATGGGCTCAGTACCTTTCTCAGTGTGACAGCTTACATGTTGCCTCTTCGGTGGTCTGCGCAGGAGTGGCTGAGAGAGAGCTTCTGCTTCCAGAATACTCCCAGTCTCTTTGCTCCACCCCTACTTCCTGTCTGGCTTTCCCGCCTATACTGCCTGCCTGGCCAATCAGCGTTTTATTAAAATATGATTGACAGAATACAGATAATTCTCCCGCACCACCAAACAATGTTATAACTAATATAACTTTTGTGCAATTATTCAGGTCTGGGCAACCAGGAAACAAACCAGTAGTCTCCGCCTACAACAAACACCTTGGTTTTCAATCCTGGGGAGGTGGAAATGGGAAAATCCCTGGGGCTCACCAGCCAGTTGGTCTGGTTAATCAAAGAGCTCAAGGTTCAGTGAAAGATGACTTCAAAACTAAGGTGGAGAGCAACTGAAAAATACCCAGCATTGACCTCTGGCCTCTACAGCCACCCACACACATTCGCGCATGCACAATATAAACACAAATGAACATGTACAGGGGAGGAAGGAGGAAGGAAGCTAGAAAGAGAAGGGTTAAACAGGGTGCAAGTTTTACTGCCTGTAACCTCTGCACTGGGAAGGTTGAAGAAAGACTCCTATCAGATTGGTGCCAACCTAGGCTACATTCGAAGTTCCAGGCACGTCTTGGCTACAAAAGAAGGTCCTTTCTCAAAAATGGTAAATAAAAAGCTGGAGGACGGCTCAGCAGCTAAGAATACTTGCTGCTCTCTCAGAGGGTCAGTGTTTGCTTCCTAACACCCACACGAGGCAGTTCACAACTGCTGGCGGCTGTGTCAGAGGAACAGCACGTGGCAATTGATGTTCAAGGTGCCAGACCGCCAAGAGAAATCCCCCATGGGCCAATCTCAGTTAGGAAAGGCCCCAGGACCACATATCCCAACATGTCTTTGCTCATGCTGGCCTTTCCATCTTTCTCTGGTATCTGGCACAGTGTGAATGGGTGTGGGGAAACTTCCCCCCCCCTCTGCCCCACATACACACACACACACACACACACACACACACACACACACACACACACTGGCTGTAATGCACTGTGTCTAATGGTTACATCATGTTCTACTGGGCATCTTTACCTGTGCATTATTATGGAGATGATTTCTTCCTAAGCTAATTGATAATAATGTTAGCTTATACAGAGTTTTGATGAATAAAAATAAATACAAGGAAATACAGCCAGGGCCTATGAG